AAGACAGCTCAACATAAATTGTATTGCACCATCAGTATCATGAAAATACATCTTCTGTAGAAATTTACATACCTTGTTGGGAGGAATAAGATCAAAATGTTCCCACACAGGGGAGGACATCCTTGTAGGAGCCATATGAGTTGTTCTTTCTGACTAAGTGGGTTGGTTTAAATGGACTCACTGTACTGGTGCATGGGTGTGGGGCGTGTCTCATGGGTGTGGTAGATGATAAATGTGGTTGCACTCACCTGTTTACAGCACCTGATGTTGATGAGCAGAAAGGTAGGGTGAGCATGAGGCAAAACTTTCTGTTGACCGCAGCTTGAATGATTTGATGTATTTTAACTGTAACTTGATGGGTTTGTATATTTGTGCACTAATTGATACCATAGACCAAGTTGTAATTTGACTTAGTAGTTAGTGCAGTTATTATTAAGTTGCAGTTATTTGTTTGTGCAGTCTGTGCATTTGTTAATCCCATGTCCTCGATTTGTGTAGTGGACAGTCGCATGTGGAATAAAAGGAGCAAATGATACAGAAGTGTATTTTATGCGTTTATTGTTGCACGTCATCTGTGTCATGTTTAGCCTGCCGCGGCCATTGGTTGGTTGAGTCGCAACAATCCTCCTCTTCTTAGCTAGCTCCATTCTCTCCTGACTTTCTCTCCTCACTCTCCTAAACCTCCAAACTCTCACTAACCGCAACTCTCCATCAAACACCCACATTTTGAATGAAGTCTGAGGGTTCATATTCGCGGCAAAGTTCGAACCACTTCATGAACCAGTCACGTGGTACAGCCGGGCAGCGAGGCTTCAGACGTCATCATTTTCAGCTCCTCCCATAAATAAAGCAAGCCTCGATAGGCGCATCGCGGAAACGCCCCCTCCATTACTCGACACAAGCTTCGAAGCCTCGATACAGAACGTCACATCACTACTTTTTGGCTTTTTGTTACGTTTTGCCATCCAGCAATAAAAGCTGAGTTTTGAAATACAGTTTTGCCTGCCGTGAGTCTGCACTTTGGGTCCTATTCCTGCCTGCACACAGCGACACCTGACAGAAGATCGCGACCAGAACATGGACCCTGCGACTCTTCAGCCTTTGAGTTTAACACTGAGATGGAGCGGATGATTAAGCTTCTTGACGGCATTGCCCAGTCCAAGGATTTAAGGACCATGGCGGTTGGGCTAAGCGCAGTAGACGCTATCATTCAGAGCAACCCTTGGCTAACTCAGCTTTCTACAGACACTGTGCTGGGCAACTCCATAGCTGCCTGGAGGGAGCAAGTCCGGGCTGGCAAGCTTGCTCTATTTCCACCTCCACTTCTTTACCGCTGACCCAGGACAACACACACTCCACCTGCCTCAACGCTGCCACGGACTTCCTCTCCTTCCTCACGCCAGCCGGGACCTTGTTCGCCTGTCCCTTCGCCTGCCTTTTCCCTGGCGGCTATGTGGTCCGAGGATGAGGAGGTCGTCTCCATTTCTCCACCAGTTCCCTCTTCCAGAAGGAAACATCGCCACCGCCACTCCTCTCCCCAGTCATCTGTTCTGCAACCTGGTCCTGCTGGAGGGTCCGAGGGGCCCGTCCAGCCTTCTGTTCCCGCTGGGGGTTCTGGAGAACCACACCAGCCTTTGTTCGCCTCCGCTGGAGGGTCCGAGGGGTCCGTCCAGCAACCTGCCTCCGCTGCAGCGCCACTACTTGCGGCTCCCACGCTGTCGCCTGCAGCGCCACCCTCCTCGTCTGGTCCAGCCTCCGAGTCTTCGTCCTCGCCTGGTCCCGCACGACCGGCCTCCGGACCTGCTCCGCCACAGTGGCTGGCTTCGTGGTGGCTCTCCGGACCTGTTTTGGACTTTTGTGTTGTCGACCTCCGGGCCGGCTGCCTGAACTGCCTGGTTCTGGACTATTGGGCCGTCGTCCTCCAGGCTGGCCTCCTGGGCCTCTGCGCCGTTCGTGGGCTTTTTGGTCTGTTTTCTTTTGGACTGTTGCTGGGTCTCGGTGCTGTTGTTTTGGGCTTTTGTTCCCTGTATTTTGGTTT